TAGAATTGTCCACAGGAACCACTTGTCTAAAAGGGCTTAAAATGCTAAAGGCAGATTGATTTTTCCCCCATATCTCACTAGTTAGAACACTTCCCTTTCCCACAGGTAATTAAGTGACTGACCAGTCATGACCAGACTGGGTAAAAGATTCTGTTCCTAGCACTGGTCAGGATGCCAGACAAGCTTGGGTAAAAACACTAACGATGCAAAATAAAAACTGCCCCCACAGGGCTGAGCTGGGATAGTCCCAGGGTCTTCGGGAGGCCCGGTGGGAGAGGAAAGGCCTCCTCCCCTTCTCCGGGAGCAAAGCTGTCACCCACCCTCCTCCCAGGTCTGGGGGCCCAGCCCTGAGGTCCTGAGACCCTCTACGTCCCAAGGGGCCCTGCTGGGAAGTCCACGCCTGTGCTCTCCTCTAAATGCATCAAAATCACCTCCTGACTCTGCCCCAGTTTTAAAGGACGTGCTGCTTAACCTAAACGCATCTCTCCTGAGGCTTCCAGAGAGAAAACCCAGAGCTAAGGGAAGGAAATGAGAAGGGGCAGAGGGGAGGCCTAGGGTACCTACCTCACTGGTCTGTGTGCTGCTGGCCTGCCTGGACAATCCCCTGCTGAGGCCACTAGCATCCTGACGAAGCCCATCTGCCCTTCCTCTCCCCCAACTAACCCCACGATTCTCACTCAGAACAAGGCAGCGTTGGTGGTACTGGCCAGATCTCGTTGGGCCAGGGACCACCGGTCTGCTGTTGGAACCAGGGGCTGCAGGCGGGTGCTGGGAGCAGGTCCTGACCCCTCTCCATCTCCCCTCTGCACAGCAGGTCAATCAGCAACAGGACAGAGGCGGGCAGGAGAGAGGACAAGGCTGGGACCAAACAAAGTTTCACTCTGCCTTTCACTATTCCTTATTCTAAGGCAGCAAGGAAAACTCAATAAAAGGTACTAGTTGCCCAAGTGCCCTCACCGTCCCTCTCCTTGCTGAGCTAACCAGACCAGATCCTTTACCAGATACACGATGAACAGACCTCTGCAAGCCCGTCTAAGTGAAGAGACTCCTTTTCTTGTTTTCATTCACACGTCCACACACGCTGGCTCTTCTTCCATGTGACAGACAAGAGCAGGCACTGCTGAGGGATGCAGGCTTCCTTGGCTTCCTCACCACGCAGCAAACTGGCTGCTCAGCAGGTGCCCCGCCCTCCGCGTCCACCTCTCAAGGCAGGGCACAGTCCTGCTTCTCCATCCTTCCCTCTGATTACCACCACCATTCCTACTGTGCTTCTAAGTTACCAAGACTTTTTCTCCTCTGTGGGACTCTGACTTGCCAATGACAAAAAGTCACGAACTGCAGGGTTTAGGACGACAGTTGGCCTGTTCCCCACCCCGCAGTGTCTGGACAATGATAACGGTAAGACAGCTAAAGCCCATGCGGAGAAAACCACAGACCACGAGCCGCTGAGCAGCAGCAGCAGGCGGTACTGTCCTGTCCATGGATGTGCATCCCAAGCAGGGGCCAGACGCCCTCTACCACCCCCTACCCAATGGCACAGGGTTAGCACTGAGTTCTAAAAAGCAGAACCAAAGGGCATGAGGGTCCAGAGAGAAGGGGAAATCCACAGAGATTTTAGGTAAATTTCCAAACACTAGCTCCACCATCCCCACGATTTTGTGACGCTAAAGACCAAAGAGGAATCAAATTTTCAAGCCTGCCACCTAAAGAAACCGAGAGCCTCGCTCACTACACAGATTTTAGCTCAAGTGCCGTGCCTCAGGTTTACAATTTCAATCCGAAGCTTAAGTTAAAAAGCCTGGCTTCTGGATATGTCCCCTGGGTGCAAACAGCACAAATGTCCTCTGTGCACAACCCAGCTCCACTCTGTCGCCCCAATCTCCCTATTTGGTCCTGTTCAACACTTCAAGTCTCCAGATACAGATTTTTTTCAGCTATGGTTATTGTTTCTAAAGTAATAATCTTCCACCTGGCTAGAGGAATGCTCTGGCAGAAAAAAAGTCCAGGTTGTCAAAACTCTACTTCAGGGAGAAATAAAGCCCAGCTCTGGCCATTTGGCCCAGTTGGTTCAAGCATCTTCCTGATGTGACAAGTTGCGTGTTCAATCCTTGGTCAAGGCATATGCAAGAATCAACCAATGAATGCCTGTATGGGTGGAGCAACAGGTTAATTTTCTCTCTCTCTTCCACTGTGAAAATCAGTAAATTGAAAAACATTAATAAATAAAAAATAGAGGCAAGCACAACCAAGAGCCCCTCACACCAGGGAGATAACACAACAGTATCAGGGACTCTGCTTGCCTCCTCAGCCCCCAGCAAACGGGGGTCCGCGGGCCACCTCTTGGACTCAGACAGCCCTGATCTGAGGGCCTGCCCTGCTTTCTGTCGCTCCTTGTCCTGGGTTCTCATCAAACCCTAGTTCATCACCTGCAGAACAGAACCAACAAGGAGCCCTGCCTTGCATGTGGCTGTAAGGGAGAAATGATGCAGGAAGCACTAGCCCAGCTCCCACACACCACCAGCGCGAAATACAAATGGCAACTATTCTTAGCTCTCTCATCATCAGAAAAACACAATGGCCTGGTGTCTTTAGTCCTTCATATTCTCAAGAAAGAGGGTTTTATCTTCTCCTGTAAAAGTATCAGTGAAATGTAAGATAAGAAAAACCCAATTCAAGACCAACTCAGACATCAAGTCACTGGCAACTTAAAGCAAACCACGTCACCTCCACTTCTTCTATAGAATAGGAATAATATAGGGATTCTCACTGGCCCAGGCCAGAGGCAGGGCCAGGTGAACCTGAGACTATCCCACCTGCTGCTCGGGCCTCGCCCACCCAGGGCCACTTCCCTATGCTGTGTAGGAGAAATTTGGGAAGGCTTAGGGTGCCACTGGACATGTCCAACCAACAATCACCAAATTCCTCACCCACAAGAGTACTCAACAGACCCAGGTCAGGGTCACGCAGCTTCCTGCAGAGTGGTGTAGACCTCCTGCCCTAGGTGAGCACCATCCTCTCTGGAACCACGAGACACGCAAGCCAGGGGGATTTTTACTTCTGGGTCCAGATGTTTGAGTTTCATTTGTAACCTACCATAAAAGTTTCCAAGTGAGAGCTACAGGTTGGGGTGGGAAGAAGGCTGCCCACCTCCCCCAGTTCAGAAGGGAGCGTGAAATCCCACAGCATCCCATTTCATCACCCACAGGCCTCCAGAGAGGAAAGAAAAGAATGCACTCACGTCTACTAAATGTCTACCATCTCTAGGCATTGCCTAGAGATGTGCTTTACATGCATTATTCCAGGGCCCATTTTCGCTCTCACACTTAGAAGCAGCCTCACTGGGTGGGAACCACACCAGGTGAGGGAAAAAAAATCACAATCTGGTCATCATGCCCTGCGCATTTCAAAGGTTAGTGCTATGAACACAAGGAGTCTTGTTTAGGAACTGAGTTCAAGTTCCTCAAGATCCTTTGCAAGAGGAACTCCAAACTATGCTTCCCCTATAATTCTGGAATTAGTTCATGCTATTTAATACATTATCAAAGTCTTTAAAATTTTAAACCCTGATGCACAAGAAGAATTCAGTGCAGGGCTAAAACAACCCGAGCTGGACTTCTGACCCAAGTACATGTGATAATAGAACATGGAATTTTTATGATCCTGCTTGAAGGCCCTTTACAGGCATGCTCAGAGGAGCAGGTAACCCCAGCTGTGACTTGGTACCTGTGTGCCCTTCCTGGGGGCAGAGACAGTTCCAGGTGAGGAGCCTCTTCTTCTACAAAACCCAGCTCCTGGGTTCTCATCAAACCCCAGTTCATCACCTGCAGAACACCTTGGACTTGAATTGGGTTTTTCTTATCTTACATTTCACTGATACTTTTACAGGAGAAGATAAAACCCTCTTTCTTGAGAATATGAAGGACTAAAGACACCAGGCCATTGTGTTTTTCTGATGATGAGAGAGCTAAGAATAGCTCTGGGGGACACGCTGTCAACCTAAGGACCATCTATGCTGAACATGATCAGATAGGACCAAATACACACTGGTGTACTGCTGTTTAAATGCCATTCTCTTCATCCACATGCCACTAAAAAAAAAGCCACAAGTCTTAAAAAAAAAGACGCTGTTTACAATTCACCTGCATTCCTCTGCATGAACGCACTTGGCACAAACCGTAATTAACGTTTGCGTTAAACAACAACGTGAAAGGACGTGAACGTGGTTTGTATTCGTAGAAACGCTTCCCGAGTTCGGGCTCTGCATCCGCAGGGCCAGTCTCTGCCCCACCAGAGAGAAGCTGGGGCCGTGCTCCGCGCCTCGCAGCTCGGCAGCCCCAGCATCGGCTCCCCAGGGCCTCTGACTCGGTACGCGACTCCTCCAGGTGACGGTCCCGGCAGGAATTCCCGGGGGGCTGCGCATACCTCCGAGGCGGTTAGGGTGCAGAGGAGGAGGGAAGGCTCCTAGATAGCGTTGCTTGTGGCTGCCGTCGCCTCACCCAGTGCGCCACTACCACAACAAAAGAACGGGAAATGGGACTACAGGGTGCTGTCCTGGCCACCTACCACGCAGACCACAGAGCTCACGCAGCACGGCCGGACCGCAGACCAGGGCTCTCAGGGCAGGACTCAGCAACGCCCGGAGGCCGGGCACCAGGCAGCGGACAGGCCCCACCCGCCCCCGGCCTCCGGCCCCCTCAACCAAGGCTTCTCAGACCCTCCATCCGCACCCCGCTCCACTCCTACCAGGCGCCGAGACCTCCCCTGAATCGGGGCCCACGCGGCCGCCACCTCAGGGAGTCAACGGCAGGGGCCGGGGGGCCGCGCCCACCGAAGAAGGGCTGGAAGGGCCGCCAGAAGGCGGCGCCATCCATGCTGCCAGCCTCGCGCCCCCGGGCGGCCCGGGCGCAGCGCCGCGGCCACGAGTCGAGAGCCGCGGGTCACCTGCCCCAAGCGTCTGCCAACGTCCGCGGAAACCAGAGCCCGGGGCCGGCCGTCCTCACCTGCGCCTCATATTGCTGTGTCCCCCGGCGCGGCGTCCTCTGCCGCACGGCCGCCGCCTGGCGCTCCGCAGTCCCCCGCGCGGGCGACTGCACCCAGAGCGCAGCCGAGTGCGCCTTGCGGCCGCCGACAGGACGGACACATGAAGAGGGGGGCTGCAGCCCTCCAGCCCCACCGCGGGGCCGCAGCTTAAGGGTAGTAGCTCTAAGTGCACCCCGGGCGCTGCCGCGTGGCTCTCCACCCTAGGTAGCTGTTGCTACCTGCGGAATCCAGAGGTGCGGGAATGCCACCGAGACAGGCAAAGGTAAAGAAAGGCGACGTCCCCAGGCCCTTCCCGTCCCGCCCCCCCCCGAACCGTGCTCATGGTACATTCCTTAAAGCCCGCCCCGGCGCCAGAGGGAGCAGTGGATTGGTTGGGAATCTTGGAAGGAGCCGAGGAGCCGCACAAAATGACCAATGGAAAGGCACGGTGGGCGCACCGAAGCCTGCCGGCCAAGAGCCTAGAGGATGCGCTTAAAGGGGACTAGCTCATGACTCCCTGCGCCTCTCAACAAAACGGGAATTTTCTTCCTGATCCTATCCAAACGGAAAACAAAGAGACTAGCGGAATCCTGAAATGCTTGGATTAGAGACTTTGCGTGGGTTACCCCATTCTCTCAGCCTCAGTTTCCTCCTCTAATACAGGGAGGACGTCAGACAACTGATCCCTACCGCCCCTGCTGTTGCTTGAGCCCATGGTCTTAACAGTATTTACTCTCGAGTATTCCTCCGATTTGGGTCATGCTACGCCATCCTAAACAACTGTTTGGAAGCTGGTAGACTTTCTGACACCAAATCCTTTACACGGACAGTATCAAACACACCGTTTATAAAGATGAATTAAATATTATTCCTGTGTTCCTGCTCTTTTAGAACAGAGCCTTTTTCTTACTCTCAGATATGGTGAGCCCCCCAGCCCCCGAATACCCCAGAATTTGTGCACTCCTAACAGTCACCTCTTTTCTCCTCTCACTTCCACCACACTATTAGACAAAACTTCAATTACTATGCATTTGCCTGATGAGCCTCCCGTCCATCTGAAGTCTGGGGAGCGCCTTCTGCGGGCACAACCAAGGATGCTCCCAAAGCACAATTGTCAAGTTCAAGACTTCGCAAGCGGCCTTTGGGAGCCTAGTCTGCTCTATTTTAGCGCTTTCTACAGGTGGTCAGGCCTACAGTTTGGCTACCAAGCTTCTTTTTTCAGAGCTTTTCAACCTCCCATCAATCTGGTAACCCTACACCCTCTGAAACTTCTTCCAAATTTTATCAGGAGTTTGGATACAGTTTCTCCTCTGCAGACAGACAACTAATCTTCTGACTATTATTCAAAGAGCTCCTGCAAGTCCAGCTCCTTCGTGAAGCTTTCCCGGATTGATCACAGAAGATGCTCGATTACAGAGCTTCCATTTCCACTCTGTGCCCGCATCACTCTGATTTTGGGCCCCATTATGCAATTTTTTACAGACATATTGCCCTTTCTCACTCATTTACAGCAGCAGCTTACATTTATTGAATGCTTACTATGAAGGGGGGCAAAAATGGAATGTATTTCTAAAAAGCTATGTATTTATTCTTACATGTTTAAATCCCAGTCACCTTCAAATGCAATACAACTATCAAGATGTTTTTCCCACGGCTCAAAACAGTTTTGAACTCGTTGATGTTGATATCTTTTAGTGCTTCTGCCATTTTTTTTTGTTTGTTTGTTTGTTTCACCTCCTCCACATCAGCAATGCATTTCCCTTTGAGGACTTTCTTCATCCTGGAAAAAAAGTCTCTGGGGCAAGATCGGGTGGAGGTGGGGGGGCCACAGGAGGCCCTCTACGTTGGGTCTGAAGCTGCTGACGCTCAGGGTACAGTGCAGTCAGGTGCGCTCGTAAACCACCCTTGTGAAATGGGCAAACACATTAAAAGAGTTTTCAAACAAAATTCACTGAAGTTGAACGCAGCCTCTCACAACAATGGCAGCTGGTCCACTGATACAGATGGGTTCCTAGAACACTCATCTAGCCAGGGAAGCATGTGCTACAAAGGGCCCGCCCTCCAGAAGATAATTCCAGTTTTGGGGGGTACCCCCTTCATAGGTGCTAGGTACCATGTAGAAGTACTTTGCACATATTATTTCATTTCACCTTCATATCAACTCTGTGAAGTGTTATTCTTTCCATTTATGGAAGGAAAACCAGTCACACAGCAACTGATTTGTCCAAGTGCACACAGTGAGAGTCTACCTCTGTACCCACCCTCATAACCCCACAATGCAATTCTATCTCTTATTTCTTAGGAACCTACTGCATTCCATATAAAAGATAATGTCATACACATATAACATGTTTTACACTAATTTCTATACTTATAGGAGCATTCCAGCTCCAAAACAATCATGTGAGGATGATTGGGAGCTACAGCTGCACATGGCTGACAGGTCGGGCGAAGATAACAAGGTTGGTGCACAGTGGAGTCTGGTTTTCCAAGTTGCACGTTTTCCCCACTGAAATCCCTGTGCCCTGAGCAAGCACAACCTTGTCTATGTATCAAATAGAGAACAGAGATAGCAAAACGGGAACAAACACAGCACAGTGAACCCCCACGCCTGGCATCCAGGGGGTGGAACCCGAGTCAAAAAAGGCTTCTGCAGAGGGACGAGGACTGTGTGTTTCTTTTTATTGGTGTGTTGTGTTCTGTCAGTGAGCTTAGACCTTCGACACATCTGGCAAGTTCAATGGCAAAGGGCAATGAAAACTGTTCCCGCTGTCTAGACACAGGATAAACCCCATGCCAGTGAGGAAGGGACTTCTCTGTGGGGCAATGTGGCCCACCAATTGGGTAAGTGTCCCACTTGCTGTTTAGTAAAATAACCTGCTCCACTGAGCAGTGTAACACAGCCCTGAAATATAAGCTGGGCTAATGATTTCATTTTTTAAAAACTGTTGAAATCCTCACAGGGCTAGACACCCTAGCATAATACAAAACGTGGGAGCCGGTAAGCTTTGAATATCGATTAAGAGGCCGGAGCCCAGTATCTTAAAGCCAATTCTTCTGAGTTGCTCTCGGCCTGGCTGGCCCATAACTCTCTTGTCTTCTTGTCACCAGAGAGCCCTCAAATGCCTCTGCTGTATTTATGCATCCACACATCTACTGGGGACCTACTGTGACGAAGAGCTGTCAGGTTGCCTGGATTTATCCTGGTGGATCTCACCCACAGCCCACACTTGCTGAGTGGATGAGGGTGACAGACTCAGATTCATCTGGTGAGGAAAGATCAGCCTGCCCCTCAGAATATGTAGGGCAGGATCCCACCCCCAGGTAACATGTCCCAGCTGCTCCAGCGAGAGAAGGAGCTGAGTTCTGGGAGAGAGTGGGGTGGGGGTGAGGTAAGATGTGCATGAGTTCTGGGGAGGGAGGGGGAGACATGGAGGATATCCAGAAATAACTGGATGGGTACCAAACAGTGGAGAAAATAAAGTCAATCCCTAATTTGGCCATTAGAAGACTTGTGGTGTGTTCTGTCTTATTTTCTAAGAAAAAAAAATCTTCCCTGGCCAATGTAGCTCAATGGATTGAGTGCGGGCCTGCAAACTTGAGTATCGCGGTTCGATTCCCAGTCAGGGCACATGCCGGGGTTGCAGGCCAGTTCCCGGCAGGGGACACACGAGAGGCAACCATACATTGATATTCTCTCCCTCTCTCCTTCCCTTCCCCTCTAAAGATAAATAAATAAAATCTTTTTAAAAAATCTGATTTCAAAAGTAATACATGTTCACTGTTAAAAATTTGTTAATAGAAAAACATACCAAAAAATAAATAAAAATTACCTGTTACCCTTTCCAGCATATCACTGTTACCATTTTGATGCATTTTTCCTGTATTTTCTTTGTGTAGGTATCTTTTTTTTGTATCTACCTTTTTAACAAAATTTGATCAAACTGCTTTGCACTCCTTAGCAATAGACTAGGTATTTTCCCATGCCAACATAGGATATTATTCTAAAACATGATTTTATTTATTTTTATTTTTAATATAATTTAATAGCTTTATTGAGATATAATTCAAATGTTATATAACTCACTCATTTTTAAGTGTACAGTTAAGTGGCTTTTTTAAAACAGAGTTATCCACCACCCTGACCAGTTTTGTAATATTACTATTACTTTTAAATGAAACCTCATAACCCTTAAGAATCATCCCAAAACACTCACAAAGATGTAAGTCAAACTCCACAAGCTTGTAGACATCCTCAAAACTCAATTGAAAGTGAAAAAGGGTCTACTAATGTGATGGCCATATCATCACTTTGATGGGAACCAAAGAGGTGGCTTAAAAATATGAGTAAATTAATTTTTCTAAAACATGATTTTAAATGACTGCATCATATGGCTAAACCCTAAGTTATTTAGATTTCTTGTCATTAAGATTATTTCCAAATTTTTATTATTATATGTAACTTCAAGGAGTATGCATATACTGTATATGTTTATGATTATTTCTTAATATTTCTAGAAATAGACTTGCTTGATCAAAGGGCACACACTTTGTTAAATGTCTCCCATATTTTCCCACTGTCATTCAGGAGGGTCACACCCCTCCCTCGCTCCAGCAATGCATGATGGGCTGTTTCTCTGAAGTCCCAGCAATCTTGGGCATCTCTCTGCTTTTGTAATCCTTGCCACTTTGACAGATGAAAAACATCTTGTTGTTTTAATAATCATAGTGTACATTTCCCTTTTCCTCCACTCCACCACTCTTCTCCCAAATCCCTGAAAAGTGATACGGAACTCGGGGTAGAATCTGCAGAAATGATCAGCGGCCAGACAAACTCAGTCTCATTTCACCCGAACCGACACGAGGCAGTGGAACCGGTGGCTGGGACAACACGAGATCTATGTACCTTTGAGACAGGTAACAAATCCACACGTGCAAAGCGTTTCAGCTGTGAAAGGATGTCAATCGTCTGAGTTGCAATGAGCACTGGCTGATATTAGAATCAGTTGCATTTCCTCGACGGCACCCAAGTCTCTGATGTGGACGAGTTCCAGGTGGACGGAGCTGGTAGGGCATCCTCCATAGCAAGTGGCTCATCTGCTCAATGTCTCTCTGTGCTCCTGGAGGGCTTTCTTGTCCCTCAGCTCTATCTTTGGTTTACGATCCCCCCCCCCCCACAGGTCTCCTCCCCTCCAGCCACCAGTAGCCTCCCCATTCTCAGTGTGGTTTGGTTGGGACTGCTCACAACCCCTCTTGGGACTGGAAGTGGGATGCAGGTGGCTCTGGGAGCTACAGGCAGCAGTGTTGGGC